CTTGGCTCCATGAGCAAGTTTAAGGCCAACCTGTAGTGCGTAGTGAGACTGTCTCAAAAAACAGAAAAAGCAGCTTTTACTACCTGTTAATATCACTCCTCAGACTTTTGGCTAAGATCAGTATGTTCATAAAGTAGAGCTTTGCTTTTCTGTTTTCTGTGTTCTTTATACATATATAAAAACAACACTGAAATCTTGTTTCGTTTTGGTTTCCTTTTGGAGCCAGGGTCTTGCTATGTAGCCCAGTCCAGTCTTGAACTCACTGTGTAGCTCAGGGTGGCCTCAATTCACTACAGTCCTGCCACAGGATCCTGAGTGCTGGAGATTACAGGGGTGTGCCACCATACATGCCCCAGAAATCTAACTTTTGAAAAACTTGTTGTAGATCATTTGCTCTAAAAATAATTAAGCCCATTTTGGCTTTTAGATATTCAAGGATTTAGAAATCTGTTGTTACCAATAGTCTTACACAATTTTGACCCCATGTGACTTTAGATATGTCACCTTTGTGTAGATGATAGCTCATCAAAATTGGTCAGATAGGACTAGGACTAAGAATCAAGAAGATAATATAGGTAAAAATGGTCATCAGAGGGTTGAGGAACACAGTGCTGACATTAGTCACAACAAAAGTCAGAGTTTCCTGTATTTACAGAGAAGCAAAAAAAAGGACTATAAAGCACAGGACAGTAGCACTTTTCCTAGTTTATGTGACAGAGAATCATTGTACAGTGGGGAGAAAACAAAAGATTAGAAAATTTATAAATGTTGACATATGAAAGTCTTCATATATAACATGATTTGTGTCAGTAACAATTTAAAGTGAGTGCTAAAAACTTTTCTGTTTTTTGAAACTAGGTCTCCTGCATAGTTCAGGCTGGCTTTAAACTCACAGGAATCCTGCGCCTCAGCCTCCTGAGTGCTGAGATCATGCACATGCACCACCATTCCTAGCTCAAAAATGTTAAGACACTTGCCTTAAGTTGTTAGCTCAGTGAGTAATACAGTGATTGCTTAGCCTGGGTGATACTTGAGTCCACTCCCCAGCACCAAAGATAAAAATTAAAAAGATATTAACAACTTGACTTCAATTTACCACAGAAAGTAACAGGCCAAATCTCAAAAGTGTTTTGTTTTGGTTTGAGACAAAGTTAGTTTTACTATATATTTAGGAGGCTAATTTTGAACTTTTAGTAGTCTTCCTGTCTCAGCCTCTACAGTGCTAGGATTAGAGGCATACACCACTACACCTGGCTCTCAGGTTTTATAATTTAATTCTTCAGACTGAAAATCTCATCTTTTTTTTTTTTTTTTTTGGTGGTTTTATTTTTTTATTTTGGGCACCAGAGTCTCACTAGGTAGCCTAGGCTGACCATGAATTTACAGCCATCCTACCTCAGCCTCCAGAGTGCTAGGATTACAGGAGTGCACCACCACACTCAGATAATCCCATCTCTTAAGATTTAGTGTGTTTCTCACTGTTCCATTGATCCCTAAGGTTCTGCAAAGGTGACCAAAGTGGGTGTATGGCAGTAGGCATCCTTATCCCTTTTAGGTCACACGCCCTGTCCCATTCCACCAAAGTAACTCAGTTATAAATGTCATGATATTAAAGCAAGGTGAAAAATTGTGATTTTAAATATCGTTTCTTTGAACAAAGTTACTTAGTTTTTAAGCTTCTTTTTTCATTTTCATTTTTATCAGTATGTTCACATTACTTGAGTATTCCATTCATCGTAGGGAATTGGTATGTATACATAACACAGCTTAATACTTCCATCCTTTTCCTTTCCCCTCTCCTTTTGTCTCTCTTTTCCCTTCATCTCTTGATCTCCTTCCCTTTTGCAGAAGATATGTCTTTCATTTTGCTTTTTATTTCTATTTTGGGGTTTCTCATAAGAAAACATGACATTTAAACTATGAAATGTATCTTGATTTTTTTTTCACTTAATGCTATAGTGTCATTGTGGATACATTTTCATACAAATGTCTCTCCTTTATAGCAGAGTACTCCGTTATATATAAATACATTTTCTTTCTCCATGTATCTTATTATTTATGATAGACATAAAGACTGCTTCCAAGATTTAGCCTACTGTATGACAAATTGCTGCTATAAACATGGGTATGCATGTATTGCTGTAATTTGATGTGTTTGACCCTTTCAAGACATTACATAGAAGGAAAATACATAACTAGGTCAAATGAAATTTCTAGTTCGATTTTTTGAGTGATTTCCACCATGCTTGTACTTGTTTACATTTCTACCAGCAGGTTAGAAGGGTTCTTTTTCCCCTCAGTTTCATCAGCATTTGTTATTGGAGTTGGTTTCTTGATGACAGCCATTCTTGCTGGAGTAAGATACAGTCTCATTCAGTATTTAGTTTGCATTTCTCCAATGGTCAGTGATGTTGACCATTTCTTTGTGTACTCACTGTTCATTTGTACCTCTTCTATCAAGTGTCTATTGATTTCTGTTGCCCATAGTTTGGGTCTTTTATTTTGGAGGATCTAGTTTTTTAGAGTTCTTCATGTATATTTTACTACTCTGAGGAGTAGCTGGCAAATCTCTCCGTTCTGTAGGTTGTCTCTTCACTCTATCAGTTGTTTCCTTGGCTGTGTAGAAGCTTTTAAAATTTGATACGATCCATTGTTGCTTCTTGATGTTAGTTATTTCTTGTGCAACCAGAGAAAGTTATTGTTTATGCCTATGTATTCAACAATTTTACCTACTTTATCTTCCAGCAGATTAAATGTCTGTTTTTTAATGCCAAGCACATTTATTAGAAAAGAAGTTATGAAATATCTTCTTTCCTTAAGAAATTAAAAAATAAATAAAACCAAAAGTGAATAGAAGGAAATAATAAAGATCAGAAAATTCAATCCCTTATCAAAATAACAACATCGTTTTTAATAAAAATTAACATTTTGATTCTTACGTTTCTGTAGAAGTACAAAAGACTCAGGATAGTCTAAACAATTTTTAAAGGAACAAAATTAGAGCTCCAACCCTCCCCAATCCCACAGTTAATCACAAAGTTACACCAATCATGACAAAACATCATTGACATCAAGATAGACAAACCACCACAGTACCAGTATGAAGTCCCAAAATAGGTAGTCACATAACAGACAATTGATTTCTGGCAAAGATGCAAGAGCAATTAAGTGGAGAAAGGATTGTGCCTTCAATAAATATACTGGAACAACTGGATATCCACATGCAAAAAACCCCAAACCTCAAAAACATCAAAAATTTCTTAAGACATCCAAGAAGTACAACAAACTCTTCTATTTTAAAACGTGTTTCTGAGCTCTGGTAACACTTTGACATTCTTCCAAGGTTAAAGTGTGAACTACCTGGAGTAGCCCACATAAGTTCCAGTAGAAGGAAAGACAAAAGATGTGATTAAAGCTTTATTTTTCTACCAGTAAGAGTAATCAGTAATTTACAGTAGCATTTCCTTTTTAAAATTCTTTAATTTTAGAAGTTACTGAACATACAAAGATCTCTAGGATGAAAAATCCTTTTTTTTTTTTTTTCTGTACAACGGCTTGAACCCAAGAGTTCTTACATGCTAGATGCTTTTTTTTTTGATGACTTTTTGAAAGGAGGCTAAGGAAAATCGCCATGAGTTTGAGGCCAGCCAGTTCTACATAGAGAGTTAAAGGCCATTCTGAACTACACAGGAAGACCCTAGCCTCAAAAAAAAAAAAAAAAAAAAAAAGAGAGAGAGAGAGAGAAAAGAAAAAGAAAAAAAAAAAAAAAACATCATTTCAGCTGAGTATGGTGGTGCACTCTTGTAATTCCAGCACTCGGGAGACTGAGACAGGAGGATTGCCATGAGTTCAAGGCCAGCCTGGGCTAATAACAAGTTCAAAGCCAGCCCACACTACATAATGGGACCATACCTTAAAAACAAAAAAATCATTTCAGTGTATTCTTTTCAAGACAGAATCGAAACTAACATATAATATCTTCATGCATCTTTATGCATGTTTTGCAGGGAGAGTATTCAAATTGCAGTATTTTTGGCAACTCTAGGCAAGTTTTGTGCTATAAAATGGAAGTTGATATTAAATCCTCTTTTAAGTTTTATTTTCACCATAGTCCGTTGCAGCTAATTTTGAAATGCTGTTCTACAGTTATATAATAATAGAGCTGTGATAATATTAGGTGACACATATTGACTGAAGCTCTATGTGTTTGATAAAATGCCAAGGACAACACTTAAAATTCCCATTTAATTATCAACCCTACTACTTTACACATGGAGAAACTGAGGCTAAATATTTGCCTGGTAATCCTAAAATCTTGAGAAAGTGAATATCTAAGGCAAGAATTCTTACAACTGTATTTATGATTATTGATAACTAAAGGATCATTCAAGTTTTGGTCATGCTATATCTGCACCACAAAAGAAATTTTGCAAGTTTATTACAACCATACCTCGTCTTTAAAAACATAATATGAATTTTAAACTTATTTTCTTATTAAGTTTTTCTTTTTTTTTTGTACTGGAAATCAAACTCACAACTGTGTGCTTGCCAGGCAGGCACTTATACCATTGAGCTAAATCCCCCGCCATAAAATTATTTTCTGTGTGGCAAGAAAAATAAGTCTGTGTTGACCAGTGCTATATTGATACCACAATTTCTTGTAGCACACAGAACATCAACTTATCCAGTTGCTTGATTACATGCAGATCTATTTATATTGACTTATCTTTGGTATATCAAGAATAAATATATCTGAATTATATAGTCTTTGTGGGGAAATACTTCAGTTAACATTTAATACCAATTTTTAAGCTTGTGTTTATATCTTTTATTAAGTAGGTTATATATGTGAGTGTGTGTGCATGCGCGTGCACGTGTGTTTATTCCAGAAGCCTAATCTCCTAGACTTCTCCTCAAGGCCATTTCCCTCCCAACTCCGGCCATAATAAATACGTAAATAAATAAAAAAAGTAATTTCTTATTTCGCTTTTGATATTTAGGAACAAGTTCCAGTTCCAGTCTATCATCCAACCCCTAGCCAGACTCGGCTAGCGACTCAGCTGACTGAAGAGGAACAGATTAGAATAGCTCAAAGAATAGGCCTTATACAGCATCTGCCTAAAGGAGTTTATGACCCTGGAAGAGATGGATCAGAAAAAAAGATCCGGGAGTAAGTTTTAATAAGTTTATTTCATGGGTCTGTTTTCAGACATTAGCTTTTGAAAAATGTCTCTTTTCTTATGTATAGTGATACCTTGGCTGTCGATCTGAAACCTTTCCAAATCTGTGTTCAGACACTGAAAAGCTTGAGAACTGAAGATGTTTTTTCCATAAGAAATAATGCAAAACCAAATAATTGATTCTGTGGTCCAAAATTACACTTATAAATTCGTTTTTTCCAGGATTTTAAACACATTTCACAATGATTTCTTTAACTTTGTCATGGTTCTCACAGTTTTCTTCTTAGCTTTACTGCTGGTGTCACTAACTTTATTTGGAGCCACAGTTACCATATTTTACACAATTGAGTACCAAAAAAAAGCACTGTGAGGAATGCTTATTGAATGCAGTAACCCAGCACTGTATGTTATCTAGGCAAGAACAGCACTTACGTTGAAGCATCACACATCTTTGTGTCCACAGCAAGACTGGACACATAACTCACTCTCAGCCTAATCAGGCTTTTTCAAGTTGGATTTCTGGTTTAACTGTCAAACCAAATTACAAATACTAAGCACATTTTTTTCAAACTTTGCTGTTGGAGTAATGGAAAGTTCAAGCGTGAAGCCATTCAGCAACTGACATGTTACTGTTCTTTGGAAGTCTCTGACATTTACTGTACTGAAACACCTCAGTGAACACAAAAGAATGTTTTTAAATGCACTAATAAAAAAATTTGTATATAAAAACAGCTAGCAGAATGGTGTGAATTCTGATTATTATGTACACTTCTTGTCCATGTAAGTAATTGATGATAGCAAAAAAACCATTTACATATATGAATGTGAACTAGAACCAGCATAACTAGTGACCATGTCAATTTTGGAATGTCACTGGTAATATTTCAAGGACCTATAGCCATAGGGATTGATCCCAAAATGTGTACTACCACTCCCTCAGCTTAAAGCTTAGTACACAAGGTATTCATCACAGTCTTGTTTGGAGGCTGGGAGGGAATGCATGCTACATAACTGTCCAGCAGTGGAATAAGTTGTGATATGGGAATACTTCACTAGGTAATGCAGCCATTGCAGTTCTTAAGTTTTTAGTGATACAAGAGAAATCTGTTTCTTGTAAAATGTTTTATTAAGCTCGATGAGTTAAAGATAAAATATTGCTTATATGGAGTTTTATCCCCAAAGCTCATCATTGTCTTTGAGATTCGCTAATAAGGGATACAGTGTCCTTTTGAGAATGGCTTACTCAGCACAGGCATAATTTGATTTACTGTGTTAATGTTTGACACTCTACCAATGTATTTTGTGTTAGTACTTAAAATTGTAGTTTGTCTAGAATACTGATTTCTAAAATGAAAATTCAAAACCGAGTTGATGAAAATAGCTTTAACTTAAAGGAGCCCCGTAAGTAAGCTGCAGTTAAGGTTCTATTTTTACATGTTTTTAAAATAAAAATTATATTACTCCAGGTTTGTAATAAAAACTCAGTATAAAGAAACAAAGTTGTTCTGATACCTTTCTACTTAAAGCATCATACATTCCTGTAGGGTTCTGCTGTAATATGTAGCTGTTTTACAAACAGCAATAAACTTGACCTTAATGTAGTCCATTTCTCTTTACTCTGTTGATTGCTCTTAAGCCCAGAAAATTCTGAGGTGATTAAAACAAGAATATAGGTGGATAAACACTAGGAAAAATTTTCTTTTGCATGCTGTAGTAATAAGATTACGGGCAAATTGTTCTAGTATGTTCAGAGTACTATCATCTTTGAGTGTTGTGGATAGGCCACTTATGTAAAAATGCTTCCTGATTTCTCTCCCTTGCTTCCTTCACAGGTGTGTGATCTGTATGATGGACTTTGTTTACGGAGACCCAATTCGATTTCTGCCGTGCATGCACATCTATCACCTGGACTGTATAGATGACTGGTTAATGAGATCCTTCACGTGCCCCTCCTGCATGGAGCCAGTTGATGCAGCACTGCTTTCATCCTATGAGACTAATTGAGCCAGGGTCTCTTGTCTGACTTCAAGTGAACCATCATTTCTGGTGGTTTTGATCTTTTGTCACTGAGCCCAAAGAGCCAGGGATTAGGAATTAAGATCATGCACAAAAGTTTCCTTAAAATTCCTGGATGGCTGCAGATGTTGAGGAAAGTATGTAATATTTTAGAAACTTAGGGGGGGAAAGTAGGATGGTATTTTTATGTAAAGCCTTGACCCAGTGTTTAAAAGATAATTGTATTTAGATCTTGTTATTGCTCCAGTACATAGGAATTGTGTAAAGTGTTACAGCAACTATTCATGTTTAAATTGTGTATGTTGAAGATTAGGAAAAAGATAGTGATTATTTTTCCTAAATGAAATAACTCTTCTCCCTTCCACCCAGATTCTTTTCTGAAGTTACCGGCATTTGGGTCAAGGTTTTATTAAAAGCTACATTTTATAACACTGGCACAAAAAAGTAGTTTTAAGCTTGTTTGCACAGTTCTTTTTTCCATTGGAAATGGAATTCATTGCCTTAGGTCTTTTAAAATAGTGTTTTATTGTTGGGGCTGGCTCTGTGCTTGCAATCCAGTTTATTTATATCCTGTTGTAAGTGCTATATTCTGTTTGCAGTTAGGAAATGCAGAATTCAAAGTGATCTCCTAGCTTGTAAGCAAACTGAGATGCACTATTCCTTTTCTATAAAAAATGCATCAAGAAACCAACTCCAACAAATTGATTTAATAGTGCCCTTTCTTATGTGTTTATCTAACTGTTTTGGTTGTTAAAATGGTGATAATTGAAAGTCAAGGTAAATTTTAAATATGGAGATTCTGATTTTTTGAGCTTGAATTATGCTACCATGTTTATGTGAAAATGAAGGTGGTACCATGGTGGAACGTAAAAAGTAGTAGTTCTCAGTTGTAGTAGTTTTGATTTACTGTTTTCTCTGACCTCCTTCCTTGTCTTGACCCAATAGCAAAAGGATACTGCATCTCCCATTACTGTTGTGCTGAGGTTTATTGAAGTTATATAAACACATCTCAGTCTGTGTCTCTTAGAAAGGTATCTATTAAGTCCTGCGGGGTGACTGATAGACTAAGCAAAGAATAAAGGTAAATGTGTTTCATGTTTTGCACACAAATGCAGAGTTTGTATAACCACATGACTTCATGGTTGTGATCTCAAGGAATTTCTCATTTAATTTTTCTTGCAGTTAATGTAAGAATACTCTAAATCTCTAAGCTTCTGAAGTGTTAGAGGTAGAGATGGTCTAGTAAATATGTAGTAGTAATGTTTTATCCACTTGGCATGTGTTTCTTTTTCCTTGTGTACTCAAAGGTGACTTACTCATTCATCTCAGTGATATGACAGCTAAAAATCGTTCATTAGCAAAACGAGAAACAGTCTCTGCCTAACAAACAAATATTTCTTATTATTTTATATTGAGTTGAATACTTGACTCAACACTTTTCTACACACAAGACAAGTTTCTGGAAGGTTCTTCGTAATTGCATTATAGGGTAATTTAGTATGTCCTAAGTACTTATTTGACACTCAACTATATTATGCATATGTTGGTTAATTTCCTTCTGAGCCCCATGATGGAATGACTCAAAGATGAATTTGAGGAAAATTGAAAGAAACTAAGTATCAGATTCTGTTAAACTGTTACATGTATCTTGCTTAAATTTCTGTTCATTAATTTATATCTACCCAATTACATAAAGCAAATTTGGAGGAAACAGCAGAATTTGTGCAATATTTTCAGTGATACTTTTTTATTGTGTTTTCTACTTAAACATGGTGTCTATATCAGGTATTATAGTAAGAATTTCTTTTTTTTTTTCTAGATCTTCAAAATTGGTAAATGAACTTCCATGTTGCAGTTAGTCTTTATTATAAGACTTCTTTCATAGAAGTTTGGTAATTTTGAAGGAAGCAGTATAAAACAGAATGCTTTTTTTCAGCACTTTGTATTCTTTAACTTTGTTCTCTACATACTCTGTTAAGAATCATAAATTTCAGCTTTTACAATGTTAAATAAAGTTATAATATAGTTGTGAAGGGATAAATTTAGAATTGATTGTAAGCCTATCACTCAACTTACCTAATCTTTTAGGAAAAATGTCATATATAAATGTCTAGGTATATATGCCTCAGAGAAGTATTTTTTATTGCTTGTCATTTAACATCATCTGATCATATACTTAGATGTCTAATAGTGTTAAATTTCTAAAACCAAATAGTTGGAACCTATTAAGATAACAGGCAAGATGTGTTCAACCTTGGCTGTGGGATTTGAAATGTCTGAAAGTCTAACAGAGTGGGGAGGCACTACAAGCATCTTACTCTTTTCAATGTAAAACCTAGCAGGTTAAAATACTTTTCCATTCACATGGATTTTTCTTTTTTAATTCTGTGAAGACTTATCCTCTACTGTTACGGTCTACCTTGTGATATAAGTCTACCTTGTGTATGGTTTTACAGAGTAGTAAGCATTAATTAGGGTTCTCTGCATACAGATCTCCTTCAAAGGGAAGCATGCCTTTTTAAAAAGGAATAACACTTAACAGTCAGAAACAGTTGCCTGTGGTCCTGAGAATAAAAGTGGTAAAGAGGGGGAAAGGTAGGTATCTTAAGTGTAATTTTTAGTTTGATTATCTGTGCTTACAAAGCAATAGGTAGCAATTGTTTCTGGACTCTTATTGATTATACTTTAAAACAGATGGATTTTAGCCATTGTAATAACCTCAACTAATTTCTTTTTGAACTTTTAAGCTTGGAGCTGGATATGATGATACATGCCTGTAATCCTAGCAGTTGGGAGACTGAGACAAGAGGATTACCTGTTTGAGACTAGCCTGGGTTACATAGTGAGTTTAGAAGCATCCTTTTACTACATAATGAGACCTTGTCTTTTTTTCTTTCTTTCTTTCTTTTCTTTCTTTCTTTCTTTTCTTTTCTTTTCTTTTCTTTTCAAGGCCTTTAATTTTAGAATTAATGGGCATAAAAAATTGACAATTTGGTTAATATGATAGCTCTTGAAGTAATACTATGTTTACTTGAATTTAAACAACATCTACTCTTTTGCTAGTTGGGAGAGAGAAAAGAATTTGAGTCCTCTTTATATCACACTCCTGCTTCAGTCTTAAACTCAGCTAGACTTTTCCAAAACTCTAGATGCTAATTTTATGTTTAAGGATTTATCCTTTAGAGATAGTGCTGTTTTTGTTTCTTAATACCTGCCCATTTTCTGGTGTCTTGGAACTTGATTTTCTGCTTCAGTCATTAAAATTTCTGATAAGTATGAGAAACATTGGAACATGACTTAACAACCAAAAGCTTCATTTAAAAAACAAACAGGCCTAGACGCAGTATCGTCCTTCATTGGCATTTGCGTGGTTGTTAAGGCAGTGTCCTATGGGTGACAATGAGCTAAGCTGAATTCCTTCTCTCTTCCCTCTCACATTAGCCCAGTTTTGACATATTTTGGCTTTGAGGCTGTTTTTCTATCAACTGAATGCCCCTCCTAGTCAGAGAAGGTAGTTTGATTCTCTGCCCTTCAGGAATGAACCAGTACATTACTGCATTGAATAAAATTATGATTGACCCATGTTTCAGATGAAATTTTCCTGAAGTATCAAAAATGGTGCCTGTGTCTCAGAAGTCTGTGATAAAATAAGCTTAAAGAACACTGAAGTAGGAGTCAGAACTTGATGCGCCTCTAATTCCATGTCAGTTTGTCTGTCTTAGACCACGTCAGGGGACTGGTAGATCACTGAGCTGTTTTTGTACTGGGAATTAAACCCAACAGCTTTTACACTGAGCTATATTCCTAGTCTTTTCTGGGGGAGGGGAGAAATCACTAAGTTATCCAGACTAGGCTTAGGTTTTTGAAAGACAAGTCAAGGAGAACATGATGTCATAGGGCTCTGAATGTTTTTTAGTAATGGGGACTCTGTAGCAGAGGAAAAAACCAAAATCTCATTTTTAATAGAGTCCCCCAAGCTGTTCTGTTACACCAGCAGCTTTTCCAAATACTTGGTAGATGATCCCCTCCCAAATTAATGTGAGATAAGATTTGGTATCTTTTTTGTTTTTTTTGTCTTTTTGAGACAGGGTCTACTGTGCAGTTCAGGCTGGGCTTGAGCTCACTTTGTAGCCCAGGCTGGTCTCGAACTTGTAATAATCCTCCTGTCTCAGTCTCCCCAGTGCTGGGAGGGGTTTGTTACTTTTTTTGGTTTTCTTTTAAAAACTGCCTAAATATGAGATTGAAAATAACACCGGTATTGGGTGCTTTTTAATTATTCAGAGATGATAGACATTCTGTCTTTCCATTTGTTCTTTGGCTAGTTCCTTCATGAATAGAAAACCCACATGAATACCTTTCTTTTCTTTTCTTTTCTTTTCTTTTTTTTTTTTTTAGGCAGGGCCTTGCTGTGTACTTCAGGCTGGCCTTAAACTCACTATGTAGTCCAGACTGACCTCAAGCTCCTGCCTCAGCCTCCTGAGTGCTGGGATTACAGGAGTTCACTACCAGCCTTTAACTATATTTTGATCTGAAATTTTACAAAGGGAATTTCAAAATAACCTAAACAGTTTAATCATCTACTTTATTCTTAACTGAACAGTAAGTATTTGCTCACGGCAGTAGCTGAATGCATTCGCTAAAACCATTTATTATTACCATGTGCTTTCCACAGGTTTTTCTTTTGGTATGTATGAAGGAGTATCACAGGAAACACGTTTTAGGCATCTAAAATTGGTTATGATTAGAGGAAAGGAGCACCTGTGCACCTTGAACCCTTTCTGTAACCATGCTTATAGTCACTAAATTTCTTAGCACAAGGTAAATGAAAGAAGTTGAATACAATAAGGGATTGCCCTGATGGGTTTAGAGATAGCAGTGTGCGCTAAATGCCTGTGAAGAGATTCGGTTGGCTATGCAGCACACGGCATCTGGGGCCAAATGCAGTAACTAATCCCATCAGTTAGGACCAAAAGCAAGTTCTCAGCATTGTGTGAATTGGGAAGCCTGGACTGTGTTTTCAGACCTCTGAGGTTGGCTTCTAGTGCTGCCCACAGAAGAGGCACAGGAACAGGCTGTGTCCTGCCAATTCCAGGTGTAAACCCAACCCTCACCTTTAAAACAGGGTAGAATAAGGAGCCTGTATCCACAAGGGTAGCAAAACTCAGTGGGCAGATTATAAACTACAATTTTACAGTGCCATTGTTTTCATAAATTATTTTGTCCTCATGGATCTTGGTTACCCTGTTAGTTTCTATCTGTAGGGAATTGAACGAGGTAATTCCTAGGCATTCTTCCTGGTTGGGAGAAGGTACCAATATATAACAAGGCATTTTTTGATGGGCTGGTACTGCCAGTCTTAGGACTTTCTTAAACTTGAAGTTAAAGGCTTTGAAGTTTCCTTTGAAGTAAAATGAAGTTTGCGTTCATGGCTTTTGATAAGCAGGGTTTCTGGTTTCCCTTGAAGACCAAAGAACATGAAATACCAACTCACACTAAGTTTTAGTGATTATAACTTAACATACTGAAAGCATTGTCTTTTTCCTAACTTTCATTGTTGGTAAAGGGAAGATGTATTTTTTTTCAGTTATTTTTAAGATGTATTTTTATTAACAGAAAACCTAGAACTGGTGCTGGAAGCAGATGTCCATGTTTACCTATATGATCGTGGCTGGGGATTTAGCTCAGTGGCATAAGCACCTGCCTTGCAAGTGTGTGGTCGTGAGTTCAATCCCCGGTACCGATAAAAAAAAAAAAAAAAAAAAAAAAAAGAGAGAAAAAGAAAAAGCCAAAAAAAAAATAAAAACCAAAAACCTATATGATCAGTTCTTCACACAGCAGCTAAAATAATTTTAAGTGAGTTGATTGGATGATGTCATTCCCTAACTTAAGATTTTAATAGCTTCCCATTGTGGTAAAAATAAAAACTGAACTCTTTAAGTGGGATGAGTAGGCTTTCAGCCTCTGTCTCATAGGACTGCAGGAGCTAGCTTTCATGGACCATCATTTTGTACTTGTAAAGTGGCACACTCTCACCTGTCTCAGGTCTTCTGCCCTGCAGCTGGCTGCTGCTTCTAGACAAAGCCACATCTTTTTTCCTTGCTTCCTGGCTCTAGTTTTTTATGTACTTGCATGCCTTCCCATCAAAGTAAGTTACTCAAGAGCAGGGCAGTAAACACTTAAAAGATACAAGATACTTATTAAATGAAAGGAAAGGCAAAATAGGGAAGAGTTCTTAAGGAATCTGAGCATTTCTAATGTAATGGGAGCTACTATCATCCCAAGAACATTGCCATTGGATAACAGAGATCTCTTCATTAAGAGTTTGGGGTTGAGGAGCTGGAGGTTTAGCTCAGCAGGCACAAGCGCCTGCCTGGCAAGCACGAGGTTTTGAGTTTAATCCTGGATACCAGAGGGGAAAATGCCATATTTCAAGAGTTAGGGGTTGACAAGGAAAAAGGCAGACAGCATTCTGAAAAACCCTGTACTTTTAACACCTGTACTTTCCCCATACAGGGGAAGCCCTGTATGGGGAATGTGGCAAGTCTTAGTTCCTATGTATCCATTTTTGAAAGAAGCTACATGAGCGTGAGTTTATAGTGTTTTAACCTGCCTAGGACCCCATGTTCCAGCATAGGACCCAAGACCAGTCCAGTTGTACTTACCTCTCATTCTAAAAGTGGTTCTATTTTAGTGTACATCACATTTATGTGGAGGGCTTG